CTCCCTCACATAGCTTCAGAATTGTAGATTTTCATGGAATCAGACAGTGATCTTTTTCGAATGGGAAATCAGTAGTCAGAGCAGTCTTTTACAAAGGCTTCTAAACAAAACAAGTGTATCACAAAATTCTGTCCTATTAACCCCAGTCTTGTACACATATATACAGTACTTTACTCATCATCTGATTGACTGTAACCATTTTAAGACTTTTAACAGCTCCCTCTGTCTCTTTTATTGGTTTCTGTTAGAGTTAATGCTTGTTCAAAAATGAAAACTGCAGCAATTTTCAGGGCAGGTGTCAACCTTATTTAATTGCACTTCCTTCCTGGGCTTCCCCACTGAAAGCTTTCATGATAGAAAAGCCAAAAATAGCATCCACAAGAAAACATAAGAAAAATGATCAAAGCTCATATGAACCCCAAGATCTCCAGGCCAACTTTAGCCATGGAAACTCAAGGAAAAAATATGTAAGCTGTGAAGCCAGAAATGTAAGGCCAAGGTTCATCATAGAAGCACAGACATAAGATCTTTTCAATTTTGATCATAATTCAGTCTAGTCCCAGTGCAGGATTGTTCCCTACAAAATACCTTCTAAATTAGTTCCCATACTTCAGAGATACAATCAAAAAGTGCACAAACCTTAACATTTTCCTGTCTCTGGCCAAACATGACAAAGACCCTAGAAGGATCACTACTTTTAAAAGCTCTTTGGAAGTTGTTCAATTAAATAACCATATGAAGTGGACAGGCAGAACAAGACAAATGTTAGATGAAGCCCAGTTTAACTTCCAAAGAGATTTAATCTCTCTCACATCCACCTATTTTTCTGAAACACTCTTTTGTTCTCCAAAAAGATGAGAATAGTCTAGAGGGAGAGAGGACCTTCTATTATAGAGAACATGAGGATTATTCACAGTAATAAGTGCATGTGTCAAACTCAGTTTAGATTCTTAGATGTCATCTTCAGGTAGCTGCGAAGTTCTCCACACATACACTTCTATTCCTGTGGCAACAATTAAGTGCAGGGAAAGGGGGCTTTAGCTGGATCAGATTCCCTATGAGAAGCTCTGCAGACTTTGAGGAGAAAGGACTGTGATATGGGACACAGGTGAATTACAGACAGATAAGATAGGCAAATAACAGTTCCCTTTATGAGGCCCCAGAGTGCAAATTCCAAATACTTGCCTTTGTTGTTATTTTTCAGCTAGGAAACTTCTGGAAGGAGCATGATGTCATAAACAGAAGACCTAGCATGACTCAATACACACCAATCAGGACAGGCAAACTTCCTCTGGCTTTTGGCCACCTTTCATATTTGCTAACTGAGTTAAAGTTCACACCAGCCACATTTTAGATCTGCTTCTGTTTTTAATTTGGTGCAGCTCTTGCTTTTTATGGATGTATAAATTAATCTGGGAGACTGGAGCAACAGTATTTAGCACATCTGTGAGAGGGATGGAGAAATCCTTACATCCCAAAAGAACTCTATAGGACAAACATTTGTGGAGGGTGAATAGGAATGGAATACACCTCTCTTTCACTTGTTTAAATACTACCCAAATTTTTAATACCAAAAATTGTTAGTGTTTCTGTGTTTGAGGCCAGGTTAATGCCAATAGAAAGTGAATTGATGTTCTGAGACCATTTCCTAGTAGGGGCAAAAGTCCACCTTCACGAATAACACTAATTGGCACCATTGGCAGTGTCAGCACAGAGACAAAGGACAGAAAGTACATATAGGCCTAGAGGTGAGCCTGCCAGGACATGACTGAGGTACACTGGCAAAGACAGTGCAGGGAGGGGCATCTTTGTATTGCTGGTGGACATGCTGTTTCTATTTTGTGGATAAACAGAAGACTTCAGTCTCCTGTAATGTCAAATCCATAACTTTCACCAACATTTTGAAATAATCCTAAATTTAAATTAGATGAAAAAAAGAGAGGGCTAGTGCATTATGTCTCTGTTTTGACCACAAACCCTTTCATGTTTAGGATCATTAGCCCCATGTACCTGTGTTTACAAACCTAGTAAAATGTTTCACTACAGACACAGCACTATTTATCTGCTCGTGTGTTTAAACAGTTCAAGCCAGATCAATGGCCATAAAACATTATTATCAAGCAACTCAAGTGGTTCTTCCTAAGGCAAAAAAGAGCAATTCTGTCTACTATAAAAATAAATATACTTTAAATAAAAAACATGTCATAATTAATTTAAAATTAACTTGTGTCTTCAAACATTTCATTGATTAACTGGGAAGGCTGAATATACTGCTGAGTCTAAAATATGTCTTTTTTTTTTTTTTTATTTCTTCATCCTAAAAAAGAAATAAATCTTTCTCTTAACTTTAAAGAGCATTTAATTCATGACAAGGCCACTCAAGATTTCCCATTAGGTTAAGAACTATGTGTCACTAAAAATCGCAGGCCCTTAAGGCGAAACGAAATTAACACCAACTGGGAACCTAATACTCATTGATCCATCTTTAATTATACTTGGAAGGTTCAGACAGCTTCTTCTGCCAGCTGGACTCTTATCTGACCTGATTAAGGATCCTGTTAACTGTATCTGATCTGCAAATATTGCTGCCAACAAACTTGGAAAGCCCACAAACATCCTTCTTGATGTCAGCAAGCAGCTATTTTTAGGTCCCAAAAATCCAGATCCAGGAGAGATTATTAGGACAATTACTTAGCTACATTTACTAAGAGGAGGGCAGGTATATGCTACCTTTTGAATATGAGGCAGATCTTGTTAATTAACACATTTGCCTTCTGATTATCAAAGAGTATGGATTTTGGAGCCCCATTCCACCAATCACTCCGTCCTGCCTATCACTGCTCGATAACATTATGGAAGCAACACAACCAGTCAGGGCTAAAGGGTCTCAGATGCCATGTCTACCATAGAGAGAGGTACAGTAAGACTACTGTGTCTCAGTGCTGAAGGTCCTTGGATATCCTACTGTGGCATAGCAGAAGTTATGCAGTCATGTCTCCATACCAGAGGTTCTTGGATGCTGTGTTGTAAAATGACAGAAGCACCAATTTAATTTTCATTCCTCAGTGTTGTAGGTTCTTGAATGATGCACAGATGTTGTTGTTGTATTTAACTAACCAAGTTTAAAACCACTGACAAGCCTGAGATATCAAAACCAGCTGGCAGCTGCTGGAGGGTGCTGAAGATTTGTTAAATCACTTTCAGATGAACTGAATCATATTTCCATTACACTGAGACCTGGAGACATTAAATATTATCTGTAATCACTCATTCATTTGAAGCTCTTATATAGAGCTTTAGAGTTGTATATTTTGATTAAAAGAACCCAACACCCTCTCGCTTGTCTCCTACACTTGGAACCATTCATTCTTTTGTGCTGGGAGACAGATTTCCTCAGCACATCTATTGCCAAAAGTGGACTAGTTGAAATCTGAAGGTAGCATGGAGTTAAATAGCCCTGTTAAAGCAGAGTCAAGTAAAAAGAAACTGCTGGCTTTGTTGAGAAGAGGCAAAAAAGACTGGGGTCTGGAAAGAGTATAAAAGGAAGAAAGATAAGAGAAAACCAGAAAGAGGGGAACACACAAGAGGTGTACAAGGATAAAAAGGCACTGGAGGAAGAATAATATGAATACAGTTCTATGTACAGATTTCTGAATCTTGCAACTTGTCTCACTCCCTGTTGGTATTCAAAACACTTCAGGGAGGGGCAAGAGTCCAACACACAGCAGAATCTGTATTATATTACTTTTTGGGGTGAGCACAGTGGATTAAATAGCAAACACAAACTGTCCATTATAACTGTCTCCTGTTTCATCAACAATAGACTTACGATGGATGGTTAGTAATTTGTACTAGTACAAGTAAAACAATAATATAGCATCACAAAAGGTAAACAAATAGTGTAAAGAGTGAGGCGTACAACAGGTGTTTAAAATGCATTTCTTCAGAGCAGTACCATGTCTATATTGTATCTGTACGTTACCTAGCACAATGGGGCCCCAGTCCTGACTGGGTTCTTTGAATGCTGCCAGAACACAAATAATTACGTATTAACTCTTGTTATTGATGTTGTAGATAAAAACCATACTTTTTCTAAAATATTCTTTTTAATCTAATTGCATCTTTCTAAATTGTGCTTTAGACTCAATGGGCTAAATTCATCCCCAGTATATCTGTATTACCTTCAGTGGTTTTACACTAAGGATGAACTATTGGCCTTAGTGTGAACATCAGTATAATTCAGTCCCAAGTCCTGTGGTCTTTCTGACCACCTATGGAGCCACTTGCAAGCAACACCTTCTGCGTTACCTACTGCTCTTGGGGGGGCCTGAACCCCACCCAAAACATCAGGTGGGCGTGTGCAGCTAGTGCCAGGCAGGCCTTCCTCACCTCCATCTCCTCTGACTGGAGCAGAGGGGAAAGTGCTGAGTCACGTTTACCTATGGCTTGGACAAGGCGAGTTCCCTGTGGGCTGTCGCCACCCACTCGGGACCGGGTATCGCTACCTCCCAGTACCAAGAGCCAAATACCTCCCTGGCCTCAAGCCCCACCCCCCCGCCAGGCTCTAGCCGCCTTTCCTCCCCTACCTAGGGTGACCAGACAGCAAATGTGAAAAATCAGGACGGGGGTGGGGGGGTAATAGGAGCCTATATAAGAAAAAGACCCCAAAATCGGGACTGTCCCTATAAAATAGGGACATCTGGTCACCCTACCCCTACCCGTCCTTTCACTCTCCAGACCCCCCCCCCCTCCAGTCTCCTCAGGCTCCAGCCCCCGCCCCAGTCTCTCCAGAGTCCAGACCCACATCTCCTCAGTCTCAAGACCCCTCCCCCGATCTAGCCCCCCGTCTCCTCAGGCTTCAGACCACGCCCCCGAATCTAGGTACCCCAGCCCCAAGGGCGGGCTCCTCAGGTTCAAGCCCCCGAGCCCGGGCGCTGAGAAGGTGCCCGAGTCGCGCTGGGTCCCGCCCTGCCTTCCCCCTAGCGGGGCGCCGAGGGGTGGGGACTTTCCCGGCTCAGGCCCGGCCTCCCGCCACCGGGGTATAAGGCGGCCGGGCGGGCGGAGGGAGCTCACGGGTCCGGGCCGCGCTCTCGCCACAGCTACAGCCGCCCGCTGCCTCTCCGCCGCCAATTCCTGCTGCGCCACAGCCCTGCCATGGCCGCGCTGACGGTGAAGGCCTACCTGCTGGGCAAGGAGGAGGTGGTCCGCGAGATCCGCCGCTTCGCCCTCGAGCCGCCCGCCCGCTACCAGGACGTGCGCGACAAGCTCTGCGAGATCTTCCCGGGGCTGCTGCGGGCCGGCGCGGCCCCCGGCACCTTCCAGATGAATTACAAGGGTGAGCGCCCCGCGGGGGGGGGTCCTAATAAGCGAGGCCCAGGGTCTCTGGTGTGGTGACCGGAGGCGACGGAGGGACACCTGGAGGGTCCCCGCTGGCCGGAGCGGGCTACTTTCCCCGCTCCAGGCTGGGCCCCCCCGGACTACCCGGGGTGCGAGCCCTGCGGTCACTGGTGGGGGCAGAAAAGCCTTTATTCCCCTCCCCCCTTTGAGTTCGGTCGCACCTTAGCGAGTGCGGGTGATTGAACAGTTCCCTTGGGGGGCCGACCTGACTCGGCGGCGTGACTTCGGGTCTGTCTACACTCAAAGCGGCGGCGGCGGCCCAGCTGGTTTTAGGCCTGGCGCCTGGTTTGTCAGGCTCTGTTATTTTCAGCAGAGGTCACACACGCAGTAATGAAACCTCACAGGCTTCTTGATAAATAAGCGTTTTTTAACTTCTAATCTACTTGGAATGTCTCAAAGAGGAAGGGTGGACTCCGCTGTATATCACTAAGAGCTTGGTATAATTTCTATCTGATAAGAGACGCCCCAGAGGGGACCTGGCTGCTCCCCTGAAGGAAAACAGGCCCACCAAATAGCTCTTGGAACAAGGCTTTGTGCCAGTCTTGCCTTAAGAGCTTAACTTCCTGACACAGGTTCCATAAGCTTTTTTTTTTTTTTTTGTACCTCTGTAAATGCTTAAGGCTTGGTAGGGGGACCAGATGTCCGGATTTTTATAAGGACAGTCCTGATTTTGGGATCTTTTTCTTATATAGACTCCTATTACTCCCTCCACCCCCTGTCCTGATTTTTCATACTTGCTGTCTGGTCACCCTAAGGCTTGGTCTACACTATAAACTTATGTCCGTATAACTGCATCGCTCAGGAGTGTGGATTTTCCACCCCGAGCCACTTGGTTATACTGATCTAACTCCCCATCCCTCCCCCCCATATGTGGACTGTTGACATAGCTACCGTCTCTCAAGGAGGTGGATTACTATGCTGATGGGAGTATAGTAGCGTCTTCACTAAAGCGCTGCAATGGCATAGCTGCACTGCTGTAGCACTGTGGGTGAAGACCCGTCTTAGAAGGAAAGTACATAAAGTGAGACCTGTCTTAGCTCAAATTACAGAAAGAAAAGCTCTTGCTGCTATTCTGCCAACCCTTCACTAACACAGTATCCATCTCACACTTTCTTATCAATGTCTTTAGTCTCTAAACCAGCTCTTAGCAAGTTGGCAAAGCATTGAGGAGACTTGCCCACTTCTATGAGATGTATCAAACTTCCTTTAAAGTATTATTCATACAGTGACTTTATGCTGATCAAAGAGCAACATATTCCAGTGCCAACTACTTTGTTCTTAAATATCTTACACTCAGAAGCCTGTTTTCTTCAGATGATATTCAATTTGTTTATTGTGAAATGGCTTCCTTGTAAGATTTTTCTCAGTTCCCACCACTGCCAGTTCTTAACAAGAACACATACAGTTCTGCAACCTAGCTTCTTCCTGGGAGTTGCTGCTGTGGCAACGTAGTACTGCAGACACAGTGAGAATTATTTAAACATAACTATTGCTGCAGTGCATGTGTCTTTAAAACTAGACCAATGCGGTGGGTGTGTAAACAGAAGATACTTCCTTATCAAACGAACTACTCTCAAAGAGAGAGGCAAGGAGGGTGAGGTAATACCTTTTATTGGACTAACTTCTGTTGGTGACAGAGAGGAGGAGCTTTTGAAAACTTGTGTGTCTCTCCAACAGAAGTTGGTCTTGATATCCTGGGACTGACTTGGCTACAACACTGCATAGTCAAGTAGGTCAAACTTTGGGTCTAAGTACAGTAAAAGCTGTTTTATTTGTCACTTGAACAACTGGAAAGCTCTCTAAACCAGCATTTCTGATCTTCATTGAAAGTCTGGTTTATAGTCCGGTTGGCTCCGTACCTGGCTCGGTGTGGCGCCACAGAAGCAGCGACATGTCTCTGCTGTTCCCGGACGGAGGAACGGCCACGAGGGGCTTGGGGCAAGGGGTTGGGGCATAGGAGGGGCTTTGGGGTGCTGGATCCAGGCAGCGCTCACCTCGGGCGGCTCCCCGCAAGTGGTGACATGTCCCTGCCGCTCCTAGGCGGAGGTGTGGCTAGGCAGCTCTGAGCACTGCCCCCGCCCTGAGTGCTGGCTCCGCAGCGCCCATTAGCTGGGAACCATGGCCAATGAGAGCTGTGGGTGGAGGCAGCGCGCAGAGCCGCCTGCCGTGCCTCTGCCTAGGAGCAGACGGAATAGGTTGCCACTTGTGGGGAGCCCAAGGTGAGTGCAGCCTGGATCCAGCACCCCAAAGTCCCTCCTGCACCCCAATCCCCTGCCCCAAGCTTCCTCCTGCACCCAAACTCCCTCCCTCTTAGTTAACTGGAATTTTTGATTTACCAGTACACCCCCCCCCCATTTCCCCCAACATGCCAGATAACACAGCTTTCACTGTAATTGGTTTTACCATCCTCTTTTGCCTAATCTGGGTTCTGTGAGTAAGAACCAAGTGCCATTTTGAGGCGAGGGTAGATACTCAACACTATTATTCCCTCTTTAACAGACGGGTTCTAACATTCAAAGCAGTGAGGTGTTGCTTGATTGTTAGTCTCCATTCTTAGCAAAATACTTAAGACTACTGAGCATGTCCTTGTATGAAAACAAGGACTTACTTGCATCTCTTCCTGATTATCACTTCTATCCAGTTTATTAATCTCTGTCTTCTCCAGATGAAGATGGGGACATGATTGCCTTCTCCAGTGATGAAGAACTCAAGATGGCATTGCCATACGTGAAGGATGGCATTTTTCGTATTTACATCAAAGGTAACCTTTGGTCTTGACAGCCTCTGTACCACCACAAAGAGATGCATGGTTGGCCTTGTGCTTCTGTAATGAGTTACCTAGTATGGCAGAGGTAGTACTCAGAGCTCACCCTTCTTCAGGTACTCTGTATCACACACTGGCTGCTTCCGGAGCAATAGGCAAGGAACCACGCTTGCCTTCCTTTGCTACAAGGATGGCACTGTGATATGGGCCCCTTGAGGGTAGGGTGAACAAAGCATAAAAGGTGTTTATGGGCTTGGAGAAACCCTATTCCATTTTGCTGAGCAGGGAATAAACTAGCAAATCCACTGTCAGATTCTACTCTAATACAAAATTCACACCATTGGATAGTTACTTTAAGAAAAAAATAACATGGCTGGACCTTCACTAGTACTATTCACCAATGAGAAGGCGTGTGCAGTTTCATTCTTAATCATGACTCATTCAGTACTCCTCTCTGGTTTTACTAGCATTTTAACATACCTCATAGTAGCACTCTGATGGTTGGAGTCAGTGCTCACATGTACCTTTTCACTCTTCTCACATAGCTTCAAAGACTGATGCATGCACAGTTTGCAGATTTACAGATCACTGCTCCTTGTCCCTCCCTTCCTATCTGTTAAATCTGCTTGTTTTCTCTTAACTTCTCTGAAAAGTTTATATTGTATTGATGATTGCATGATGCCTGGAACAATGGGGCACAAACTTGATGGATCTTGGTACTGGCATGATGCAAGTTAAGGAATGGAATAGACTGATGAAGTGGGGAAAAAAGTTATCCGTTCTCAGCCTTAATGAAATGTAAACAGTTTCTCAAGTGTAGGTTTGGGGTGGGAAACTAATTCCTTAATGCACAACTTAGTTCTGAGGACCAGTCCTCTAATGATTCTTGCACTGGAGTGATATGAGCAATGTAAAAATCTAACCTGGAAAAGCTGGTCCATAACACTTGCAGGGCATTGCTGACTTTTGGCTCTGATTTAAAGAGCGGGACACTAGCAATTGCAATATATTCAGCAAGGCAGGCCTCTTTATTCTAGGACTCTGGTGGTGGTGGTTTTTTAATACCCATTCACATGAGAACTAGTTAGGAGCTATTGAATAGACTGGTCTCAATATCATACTCTGATCCAGATTTATCCTGGCTTTTTCCTGTGTATGACTTTAGTCTAAATCATATAACTAACAGCATAGTAGAGGCAGTACCTTGACTAATGAGAAGAATACCAAAAAAAATTTCTCTTGAAGACTAGAGGTTGTGGTATGCAGCAAAAGTTGAGGGCAAGAGCATCAATTCTTGTCTGAGCCAAACCGCTAATGCAATAGTCTAAGATGGAGCTCTAAAAAAGATTTGCCCGACTCAAGAGGGAATCACATAACTTCCTAAAACTAGGACTACACTTAAAATTTAAAAGTGGCACTCTTGCCTGAGTGCAGATAAACTAATGGAAAGATTAAAGTAAATGGAGAACTTTCCACTGCTCTAAAAATAATGGCTTGAAGATTGATGCCTTATACCTCTGAATTAAAATAACTGGGAATGTGACTCAAAGAGATGCTCATCTTTTTCTGAAGAAGTAATCGACTAAAATCCAGTGGTTCCTGTAACCTCTAAACAATATCGCAAGTAACATCTATATAAACTAGTGCAGGGATTCTCAACCTATCATAGTGCAGACAGCTCCTTCCATCACCGTCCACTCATAATCCTATTCAGTATGAGTCCTATGAATAGTGCATAAGTAGGCATCATGGGCACCTCTATTAGTAGGGCTTCCATGACAAACTAGTGTGTGCATATTATGTACTACTAAATACACCTATAGAAACTTTCAACGGATCATATTCCTTTAAATACTTAAAATGGAAATCTACCTGTTTCCTTTGCACTATAAAGGCATTTTCTTTTTAGAGAAAAAGGAGTGCAGACGTGAGCACCGTTCACAGTGCAACCAGGAGCGTCCCCCCAATGTGGTGCACCCCAATGTGATCTGTGATGGCTGTGAAGGACCAGTGGTAGGTGCTCGATTCAAATGCACTATTTGCCCAGACTATGACCTATGCAGCACCTGTGAGGGGAAAGGCATCCACAAGGAGCACAACATGATCATGTTTCAAAGCCCGCTGCTCAATCCATTTGAGGTGAGCAAAACTAACTTCTAGCATGGGGAAAGACTGGTCTAGAGGGGAGCCTGTAGAGGGCAGCTAAATGTAGGATAAACTGTAGATAACAGGCAGCTGTATCTTGTGGGCTATACTTAAAATATTCTGTCTAAATATGTGGACTTACATAACTTTCTTCTCCCCGCCCTCAGTGGTTTCCCAGAGGTCGCTGGCTTCGTAAGATGAGACATGGGGTTCCACCCTTTGCATGGATACATGGCTGGGGGCACCCTGGCCCTACCCCTCCATGTGGAAACTCTGAGCAGCCACAAGCCAGTGCTGCACCCCAAAATCCAGACCCTGAGCAAGGTAAGGATGGAATGACTTGGTCAATGAAGTATTCAAGGTAAAATAACTGATCACTTTTGCAGAGTAGTATGGAGTCTTTGGATTAAGTGTGTATTTTAAGTATTTTTTTAACGATTTGCTGGAACTTAAGTGTGTGTGTGTCAGTCAGTCAGTCAGGGTAGCAGTACCAAAACCCCTCGTGGACCTTGAGGAAAGAATAGATTGCACATTGTACTCTTAATTTCTGTTAACATGCAGTAGCTTTTTTTTTTTTTTTTTTTTTTTTTTAAGAAGCCTTTAACAGCCAGCCGCAGGACCATGTCACCTTTTTAAAGAATGTTGGAGAGAGTGTTGCAGCCATGCTAAGTCCTCTTGGTAAGTGACTTTTAATCTGCTATCCCAAATCAGCATTTTACTATAGCTTGTATCAACAGGAACAGTGGCCTACTTCTGCCTCACAGGAGACCTGAGCCATTTCTGGCCACTCAACTTGGCAACCTCCATGTTTCTCCTTCACTCACTCCCACTTCACTGAGATGTGGTCTAGTCTCCAACAAACATACCAGAGACACTAGGAGTGTCATTCTTCAGACTGAGGCAAAAGATGAGGCATACGCTACTTTACTGTGTAATGTCAGTATTTAATTGGGAAGAATCGGTGGTAACTCAAGTGACTCCTGTGATTGTAAATAATAATTCCCTCCTTCATCCTCTAGTCTAAATTAATGTAGTGAGCAGCACTCTGACATGAGGAGATGAAGCACGTGTACAACAGTATACATGAAAATGTGCACCGAGCTGGTGCTCCATTTGGCATTGTAAGTGCTAGACTTCTACCTTCAAGTATCCCGGAGGGGATGAGAAGCTGTAGATGAAAATAGAACGGTCCCCTCTCCTCTTTCTCTCCCCCCCTCCCCCTTTAAAATAACTAGGATTAATGTGAGATCACTGAAGGAACTTCCAGGACTGTACTTTGGAGACAAGTGTACTGACTCTTCTCCCCCTCAACTGTTTTCCTAGGCATTGAAGTAGATATTGATGTGGAACATGGGGGACAAAAAAGCAAAGTGACTCCCCCTTGTCCAAGTTCACAGAAGAGTGATTCTGAGCCTGGAGGCAGTTCCACTAGCCAGAATGGCCAGACCAAACCAGAAGGGAGTAGTAAAGAACCTGTCCCCGAGAAAGAAGATTCTATTACAGAGCAGATGCAGGAGATGGTGATAGAGCCTCCTTCCACACCCATGGAAGACAGCAATTTCCTGTCGCAGGTATGTGAATTCCTTTACCAGATGACAGACATGACAAGTTCCTTTTTTGCCATTAGGCATAGCCATAACTGGTTCTTACTACTATAAACTAAATAGCATCATTGGAATGGATTTTAATAGCACAAATCACAGTGTAGATATATCTGTGAGTAGCTACTTCTGTTGGGATCTTGGCATTCAATCCCATAAACTCCTCTCGCTAAAGGAAAGGAATGAGCCTGTTTCATGTCGATGGTAGATAATAGCAGAGCCTGCATCCTACTCTGGAGAACCTTGCAAGACATTGGCTCCTTTTTCTTTACACTTACAGGAACAGGGTGAATCCAGTAGTTCTGCAGGGGGTGATGAGGACTGGACCCACTTAACTTCAAAAGAAGTGGATCCCTCCACAGGTGAACTGCAGTCTCTCCAAATTCCAGAGACACAGGCTCCCAGCTCTTTAGACCCATTTCAGGTTCCCCCTAGATCAGGACCTACAGGACTGCGAGAAGCTGCACTCTATCCACATCTCCCACCAGGTGAGTAGCTGTATTTTGGTCAACCACTTGTCCCTTTTCAGTGAAGCCTATTTCTTGGGTTGCTAGTAGAAGGACCTTAACACTGTCCATCATATGGGTTGTAAGAACAAAGAGCGGAAAACCTTGTCTACGGCTAAACTACAGCTAAGACTTTGTTGCCACCTCTTGCAGCATTTCATTGGAGTGGTGGTAGAAGTCTTTTTTTTGTATTGCCCTGGATGACATGTAGTTTCACTTTCACCTCACTTCAGTTTGTATGAAAAATTACACTAGACAAACTGACAAATACTGCCAGATGCACTAAATAAAATTGGAAAACACCCAAGATTTATGGGGAAGTAGTAAATACTAGGTGTTAGAGGGGGGAAAAATTCAGAGACTCTTAGTAAGGATATTCCACCAATACCAACTATAAGCAGTTAGCTAATTAAACTATATGGTTCATTCAGCCAACCTGAAAAAGGCAGTCCATTAGGAAATGCTGTCCTTGCTTCCTGTGAGGGGCAGCTCATAAGAGTAAGATGGCACTTACTAGGGTGAGCCAGTAATGGAATTCTGGGCCATAATAACCACTGCATGATCTCTAGCATCCTTACATGAAGAATGGCTGGAGTCAAGTTTGATCATGCATTTACAATAAGGCATGTGCTGTTGAACTATACTGTATCAAGAATTAAGTTCTTTAGGAAACCAGGTCAAAGGATATATCCTTGATAAGTAACTAGCTATACAACATGGTGATAGCAGCGATCAACTATGTAGGTACAGCACAAGTTCCATCAGCTCCTTGCTTTGTTTGTTAAACTGTAGGTATAATCCCACTTTGTACTCATAACTTTTGATTTAACAGAAGCAGACCCCCGCCTGATTGAATCTCTGTCCCAGATGCTCTCCATGGGTTTCTCTGATGATGGCGGATGGCTGACCCGTCTCCTACAGGCAAAGAAATGTGACATTGGGGCAGCACTGGATACCATCCAGTATTCCAAGCAACCACCTCGTTCCTAATGGCATTTGTGTAAGCTAGAGCACTTTCCTGTGAACTGATGAAAACTGAACAGCAGTTCTACACTGATGCTTGTCTCCCTATCAGAGCGGTTGTTGTCTCTTTTTTTCTGTTTCCATGGTGGGAAAAATAAATATTTCCTGTCTTTAATTATTCATTTGTGAAATATCAGATTACTTGACTGTAAAATCTGCAGGGTAACCTAGCCACTCCAGGGACAAGCTGCAATGCACTAATACATCTTGGCTGGAATTTAGTTTAGGAAGAACACCTAACCGGGGAGAACTCAGGGTCTTGGGCAAAGTAAAGAAGTTAATCAATGGTCTCTCACTCTTCTAGAAGCTGAGACAGGAACTGCTTCTTATGCTACAGCAACTATTCAAGCACCCAGCACTGTTGTAGGTATAGATCTAATCCTAGATAAGGAGTGGAGGACAAGAGTTCTAGAAGAGAGTAGGATTAACTTCTCTTTAGAGAGATGACAAACAACTGTGGTGGTACCTACTCCAGAACACACAGCAGCCCTGGATTGACAGAAGCTTACAGTAAGGAGGCTCTCTCATACAATGAGATCCCTGGAATGCTCAGCTTCAGCTCTCAGGGCTCTACCAACCTTCTGCCTTAGAGTATCTGTTTACACAAGTAGCAGGAGGGTTCTTGCCTTATTTTGCCAGCAACCAAATAGCAGCTGCTAGTCCAGAAGCAAATTCCAAGCCCTTGGAGAGAATAGCTACACTTCCTAGGTCACTTAGTAAATCCCTCACTCCCCCTAGGAGGAATGACTAGATTTAATAGTAGGGCAGACATGATTCAAACAGTCAATACAGGAGTGAGGGCTCCTATTTCAGTTGTAGAGAAGTGTAGTAGAAGCTCAGGCCTTTTCTGCACACTAGTGTTCTTTGTTAATTTGTAATGGAAGAAGAGCAATTGGGGTAATGACGCAGAAGCGCTTAGTTCATTTGTCTCTGGAATTAACCTTTCAAAACATTAGATCTCCAATACAAGAGGGGAGAAGCACCCAGTCCTCCCTGAGCAGGGCCTAGCAGTGCTCTTAGTGAAGTATTGGCTCTAAGGGACACTACAGCCAGTGACAGTTATGCAGCAGCAGGGCTTTGCCTCTGGAACTATAGGGAAAAGCACAGCTCATGCTTCTGGCCAGGCAAGAGCCCACCTTTCAACTTCTTCCTCAGACACACCCGCTAGGAGACTACAAGGCACTACCAGAGGAACCTATTGTATTGCAAACAAAATCTGTTACTTGTGAACAGTAAAACCCCACAATCATTGCTCTGAACAGTCAGGTACCTGAAAGGAAAGTCTCGGGTCAGTTTTTCTTCTCCAAACAGAACTGCACATCTCCATATAGGAATGTTAGAAAGATCATGGATATTTCCTTCAGGAAATTCATTCCATGTTAATTCTAACTTTGGAAGAAGGTGAGGAAGTGAGACTCTGCCCTTAAACTAGGGACACCAACAAGCATTAAGGGTCATCATGCACCTTTTGGGGGAGGAGAACAGGGGCAAGAAAGTCAAAGTGCAGAGCCTGGAACTTTTCACAGATCATCATCAAAATCATCATCTGTGCAAAAGAAGCTGCTACTTGGAGCAGTAAGACACTGAGGCACCCCACTAGAGCTAGCAAAAGGATCTGTAGAAGCAAAGGTCACAGCATCCTTGGATAAACAGTTTACTGGCATCACAGTGCCTGCCAAGCATAACCTGCCTTCATTGATCTCTGCAACACCAGACCCTGCCCTAATCAGGCAGTCCTTATATTTTCCAGAAAGCACATCCCCAGTAGCTGCATGACTGATGTCAAAGGCAGTCTGCCCCCTGGCAGCCAGTGTGGTGTTATGAAGCTTTGAGGCATATTTCTGTGCTGTACGCTTATTGTTGGTGAAGCTCTTTTCAGTTTGGGCACCTGTGCCTGGAGATTCAGAATCTTCCTCCTGCTGTGGATATCCATCCGACATTAGAAAGTTTCCTTCAGAGACCCTCTGTGTCTCTAACTTCCAACTGCTCTTCTGTGCTGCAAGGGTTATGTAACCATTATTACAGCTGCTAGGAGACAGGAGAAATTTTCCCCACTTGGACACGGTGACATTAGTTGACTCTGGAGCTTGTGTATTCTCAGGAACCACAACGCTGTTACATCTATAATCTCCACAGTCCTGCTCAGCTACAGTTGTTGAATCTTTCCTGCTCTGTAACAAGAAAACAAAATGGCTGTGCTTGCTGGCGCTATAGCCTAACTAGAGTGAGCCTGGTGAACACAGAACTGACAAGACAGACATGCAAGAAGTAATCCTGTTCTTCCAACCAGCCTCACTGTTATTCCTCATCACTTCACTTTCCAGTCAGAGGTGAGATTGGTACAGAGCCAGCTATTCTGACGTATGGTGAAAAAGAACAGTCATGAAGCAGAACCCACTCTGCCCAGGTCAGCTCTACTGTCCAAAGAATAGGAGCTGTTTTGAAATTGTATTTCACTAGAGGTTGAGTATATCCAAATATTTCATTTCACTTACACAAAGCTCATAAAAATACACAATACTTAATTAGTCACCAGCATATAATCCTAAATATGCAGATGAAAGGGGAACCCTGCTGGTTTGATCTCCTGACCTCTATTGGGCTGTCTATACACTATCTTGCTAGGTACCTATCTTGCCCCATCCCTGTGGTATCTGAGTGCCTCACAATCTTTAATGTATTTACCCTCACAATACCCCCAGGGTCAGGGCAGTGCTATTATCCCCATTTTACAGATGGAGAACACTAACACTAAGTGACTTACCCCAAGGTACCACAGGAAGTCTAGCAGAGCAGGACACTGAACCTGGGTCTCCCATGTCCAAGGCTATAAACCATCCAGCCTCTTTCTCCTCCCCTCAATGAGGGAATAAGCTACACCACTAAGCACCTGTTAAACTGGGGTCCACACTAGCAGTTATACTGATTTCATTATTTTGGTTAAAAAAAATTCACATCGCTAACTAAAATATATAGTTATACTGGTATAAAATGGTTTACAACCAGCGCTCAGACTGGGAAAGCTCAGGAAACCAGGACATTTGGTGTTTGTGTGTAGCTCAGCAACTCTTCTTTAGTCAGCTGCCCAGGGTGCAGTTTCATCCAATCCCTGGTTTGGAAAAGGAGGCCTGCTTGGAAGAATTATGGGCTGGAGGTTGGCCCTTTATTTACTGAAGTTGTATTTCACTCCTCTCAACCATAGGACAAATGAAACTGAACTAAGAAAGGGGCAGAGTAAAGAATTATTTGTGAAATCTCTTCACTGACTGCATATTCGGCAAACTCGATACTCATTACCACCACCCTCTGACTGACTCCTGCACAACAGGGCCAGAGCCACCCACTACACTGTTACTGCTTGATACAACAAGCACTCTGCCCAATTGTGGCAAAAGCAAGGAAAGCATGATACCAGGAGCAGCGAGGAAGGCCAGCCAAGTCCAGTGCTAGCCTGGGAAGTTGGAGACCCAGGTTCAATTCCATGCTCCACCACAGACTTCCTGTGTAACCTTGGGCAAGTCACTTAGTCTCTCAGTTCCCCATCTGTAAAATGGGGATGGTTAGCACATCCCTATTCTGAACAAGGGATAAATACATAAGGTTGTGAGGTGCTAGGATACTTACATGACCCCCCCATTACCATACTATATAAGGTCAATAGGGAAAAGTCAGTAGAGTAGCTGGGCTAACAGGAGATTTTGACAGCAGCCCTAAGCTATAGCCAACTTACTGGTGAGGAGCATGCAATCACTGCATGCTGTACCGATGGGAGACTCAGGCAGAGGGGGTTAGTTTACACAGAAACAGCACTATATTTGCCTAACTATAACCTTCAAAGATAAACTACTGTTATGCAGATTTAGTCCTCTTGCATCCCCACCTCCCCGAAACAGATGGCTACATGGAAGGGTGGGGGAAAGGAGGGGAAATAACTTTTATAACAACCTTTGAATGAAGCACACACACAAGGCCAAAGAAAATAATTTAGAGGTAGGAAACATTTGCTGCAACAAAATACCTCAAAGATTTTGACTTTCTTGGCTTGGCCAGTGAGCCCATAAATTCCCTTTTCCTCAAAGCACTCCTGAGCATCGTTGTGGCGGAAGCTGCTCTTGCGTTTCCTGGTGGGGGAGCAGGAGATGGGAATTCATAGAGATGTTAGATTAGCTCAGATGGGAAATTTCATAGATTAAAAAAGTGTAGATCTGCCAAGAGGTGAGGTTTTCATCCCCAAGTACCCAACACTCCTCAGGTCAGTTTGGATTGGTCACTGCAGCCTCAGTGAACATGCCCAAAATACTGCCCAACAAATCCTCACCATCAAGCTAAAATAAGCCTTACGGAAGAAGTTATTTTTGCACCTTTGTTCTTCCACAATGTTCTTTTTATGGGAGTACATCTGCTCTCTGTCTGTATACACCTCCTCCTCCTGATCTTCACTGTCCTTGTCCAGATACTTATTCCACCGGCTGACCAAGGGACTGAATTCCACATCTTCTTCCTACAATGTTGTAGAATGACTCAGAATGACTCCTCCAAGGAGCCCCCACAGGTGGAGTCACCACAGAGATACTAAAAGTCCTAACTTTCATTGGCTTCAATAAGAATTGAGCGTGCTCAGCATTTCATGGGAAGAGATCCCAAACTGAGCTGTATTAGTGGTTATGTTCCAAAACATCATCATGGAGCAGAGCTTCCACACATCCTTTTCCATTCACACACTGTCCTGGAACCTCCCCACTCACGGGCTAGTTTCTCCATTTGTTTTATAGCTAGCACAGTCTTCAGAACAATTTAGAGGGAACACTGGCCGCTGCACTACGTGGCACCCTCTTTGCTACCTTACAATTGGTTGGTGTTTGATTTAGCTTTGTAGATACCATTTGTCTCATAGTGTCTTACCTGCCAGCCCACGTTTTCTTCCTGTGGAACTCCTGTGTTCTCTTTGTCATTATTCACTGGTTCCTCTATACACCTAAAAATAAAAGATTTAGTCTAGGGTTCCTAGGGTATTTGTCTTATATCTATATGCACCTAACCATTAGCACCAGGGACAGAGAGCAGGAACAAAAATATGTAGGAAAACAAGTCCACAGAACAGCAGATGTGAACTATAGGATTTCCCAGATATCTGCAAGTGGACTGGGTGGTTGGCGGAAGGACTCCTTTCTCCTGCCCAGTCAGAGTAGTAAGGCTCCTTTACAACTGTCAATGCTCAAATGACCCATTCATTTTTAATCATCATGAGTGATATGGGAGTGTGCCTTTCAGGGCAGCCTGCTTAATCCCACAGATT